GATTATGGCAAAGCACTCGAGAGCTATCTGCTTATGAGGAGGGATGCCTTCGCGGATGGCATTTTTTAGGGAACTGGCTCGTATACAAGCTACGCTTGGGGAACACCACGAAACGCCCATGTAGTCAGGGACTCGAAACCCGGGGAATCGAACTACTAGTGTTTAGTGGCTTTACCGCTCGCCCCCTGATAGGCTATTCTGTGAGATATACATACGTAGAGTCATCAGCTTTATCGAAGCAGGGAACATGAAAAATGTGTAATGCCTTCACCGGGATTCGAACTCCAGACCTCGCGACTGCTAGCCGGACGTGTTTCCAATTGCACCTCGAATGTACATAGTAAGGAGGGAGAAAATACCTTTCATACAGATATGCATAATGCAATTCTAAGGAAATGATGTAAAAGTGGAAAATTATTTATTGTTACAATTTAAAAAAAAATAATTATACAATTTCATGGATTTTGCTTATATTACGTAGAATATTAGATCTCAACAAATCCCATCAAAATAAATTATCTAAACCTTCTTAATAAAGATAAGAATTTGAATAATAATATTTAATTTTTTAAAATCAGACTAGTCCTTTCATTTATGATAGATCAGGAATATGCTTAATATTTACTTTTATTATTAACAGTTTTTCTTTTGTATCATATATAAGGCTTATATTTATTAACCATTATTAGCCCAGAAGGGATGTTAGTCCTGAATGGAATATTAGTCTTGAAACGGCATTTTGCGTTGAATCACTACAAACGGCATATCCTTTTTGAGCTTGTTGCCACCAAATATTATAGGCCTGTATTATAATTAAGAAGCTGCATGAATGTATGCATGTTTCTCGCAATGTGAAAAAAACAACGGAACGTAGAGCCATCTGATTTTGAATAATGTCGTCCTCCATCTGAACATGGAAGCATAAATTTTGAATTTCAAATTTGTTTTATTATCTATTTCGTATTCTGTAAAAATTTAACGAATTTTCGATTAATAAACTCAACGATATCAAACTGTACGGAATAAAATATTTTTATCTCCACCGCGCAAGACTATCTATCGGAAATTCTAAAGATGTGTTATTTTTAAATATTTTGTGATTTTGCAGTAGGCGTAAGCTACAAGAACGTTATATTTAACAATAAAGTAAACACATAAAACAATAATAATAAAGAGACAAAGACAAATTTTCCAAAACCATCCTAGAAAACTGAACATTAATATAATAAACTGAGGAAAGACTGAAAAAAGCAGAAAAAATGTATGCCAACACTTAACGCTGCATCCGGAATTCTAAATGTATACTGCTATGTTGCTTTTAAAACTTTTGTAATCATGCTGTTGAATTGTATATATCCTAAGAGCGACGAAAATTATTCTTAATGATAAAGCTAAAGAGATCGATCAACAACAACAACAACAACAACAAAACAAAACAAAAAAAAAAAAAAAAAGTGCGTAAATAGGAATGAGTGTAACAGCAGACGAGTAGGCTGCGAGCAGCTCAGCGAGAGCGAAGAAACTTTAACAAACCCTTTTGGGCGACCGTTAAAATCTGAAACCTTTCAGATTTTATAATCTTTTCTTATATTCTTCTTATTATTTTATCTATACTATGACTTTTGCTTCCATAAATTTTTACCAGAATGCAAATAATCAACTTGTACATAAGAGCAGAGTTCCTAAAAATTAGAGTGAGAGCTAAAAATTAGGGCGGCAGCGATGCTGACTGTTTTGATATTTCCTCGCCGAGTTTTCATAATTACACTCATGTCCAAAATTATGTTTACATGCATAAATTCACAGATTTCTGAGAGACTATGACTTATAATTTAATGAATTTTTGTGGAATCATACATAACATGATGACACATAAATGCAAAAGAACAAATTGAATATCACCTCATATGATATAAAATTGTAGCATGAAACAATAAAAATGGTAATAGAGTGTGACAAAGAGAGTTAAGAAAAAAAAGGAATGATTCAGGAAAAAGAATTAAGTCTTACGAATTTTAATATGGAATATGATCTCCCCTGGCTTGTACACACATATCACAACGTGTTTTAAGGCTGGAAATAACGTTGTTAACCACAGTTTGGGGAATTAATCTCCACTCTTCCAGCAATGCCGTCTTCAGAGCATTTACATCTCTAGGAGGAGGATGTATACGTGCAATTGCTCTTCCAAGGTAGTCCCATAAGTTCTCTATCGGGTTAAGGTCAGGAGAGTTTGGTGGCCAAGACATTCGCTTAATGTCTTCACTTTCAAGGAATTCATCAACGAGGTTTGCTCGATGTGGATGGGCATTATCATCCATAAATAAAAAGTCAGGTCCATATGCACCCCTGAAAAGTCTTACATAAGGATCTAAGACCTCATCTCGATATATCTGGCCTGTCACAGATCCGCTGCTGAACACGTGTAGGGGCGTACGTTCATCGATCATTATTTCACCCCATACCATCACACCTCCACTACCGAAACGGTCACGTTCCATAATGTTCGAGGGATCATTTCGTGTTCCTGACTCCCTCCAGATGTAAACACGTTTAGAATCACCAGTTAAACTAAACTCATCAGTTAAACTCATCAGTAAAGAGAACATGGGACCATTGATGTTCAGTCCAGTTTTGATGTTCTTTACACCAATTAAAGCGATCCCTCTTTTTCTGTGAAGACAGTAAAACACATACCATTGGCTTTCTGGCATAAAGGCCTTTTTCATTAAGCCTTCTGTATATTTTTTGCCGTGATGCAACAGTTCCAGTGGCGGCTGCAAGCTCTGAACTTAACTGGCGAGCAGTAGCCTTTTTGTTACGACGGGCAGTTAATGCCAGATACCGATCTTCAGAAGCAGTTATCATTCGTTTCCTACCTTGTCCAAGCCTCCTTACAACACTTCCATCATTTTGAAACTGTTTCCATAGCTTAGAGACTGTCTGTCTTGAAATATTCAGACATGTGGCTGTTTCCATGATTGACTGCCCTGCTTCTAAACGGCCGATGATTCGCTACTTACAGATTCTTCCAAATGATACTTCGAAGCCATAACAAACCGCTTTGAGTCCCTACACACTGAAATCAAACGCTATGTTGCAGAAATTCACTCAAATACTCAGTTTGCGCAAAGCGCTTGATTCACCCTTGGATGGCGTAACGCCTAGATTTGCATATCACAAACCGTTTGATTACTTTTGATTGGATAATGCTAATTAGGCTTGGTTTTCACACATTCCCTGCAAATACGGATCACATTGATTCGATATTTCATTGAATATCATCATTTTTGGGTATGTAAAGATAATTTTGGACATGAGTGTACTTTACACTGACGTTAGCCTTTTTCTCACGCAGTTAGAATAGTTTGCACCAATTATTGTAGACTTTTGTGAATAAAGCTTTAATGGAAAATGTTTTTAAGCCTTCTTCTGAGTTGGAGTTACTTTAATAGACGGGGTGATAAGTCGCTTGACGATCTCACTAGGGACCAAGTTTAGTTAAATAACTGAATGCTTTAATCCATTATAAATAAGCGTAAACATTATTTTCCTTTAAACATATATGTAAAACGTCATTCAATGGGAAAACTGAGCCTCCATTATATTTTGGCATGATTAATGAATGAGGAAATGAAGAAATAATGAGAAGGGAAAGGAAAATATAAAGTACTTTTATAAATAAGAACGACGTGCCTGTTGAAGCTTAAACCCTTAGTTTTTGGTGCTTCCGTTCTTTTCTGAATATCTGAGCAAAGAACAGCAAACTGTTGTATCACTTTAAAAAACCCTAAACTATTGTCGTAGCATTCCATTTTAATGAGGGAGAGAATGGGCGAAATACACAGTGAGATGAAAACCGACCTGCGTATAGTGTCTAGCCTCAGCTTGAGGACACGACGCGCGCTCCATTTTCTTCCTATCTCCGTAATGTGGCCGGTCCGTTCGCCTGGATTTGAACCCTTGTTGTATGAAAAGTCTTGGGCGGTCTTATCTCTTGGCTAGTGGTGGATCTGTGATATATAGAAAAAACGTTTCTTGAATTGTTATTGTTTAACCTTACACAAAATGATTTAGCCTGGCAGTTCTGATAATAAACAAAGTTAGATAATAAATAGTGAAATCCGTGTTTATTGATTTTGTTTGTCTATAACTCCACATATCGCCTAGAGATTCGTATGCAAACTAAAAGATGATGTAGCCTTCTTTGCTATCGAATTTTTTCATTGTTATACTTCTAATTAAATTAACGCTTACTAAATGATTCTTGTCTTCTGTGCCTTTTAATAGAATTATTCAACCGTTCCTTGATTGTGAAATCACTCGCTGGCGGATGTAAATGGGCGTGCATGCGTAGTCTCTCAGCCATGAATAAACATCGTGTTCTAACGAAAGGGCCATGTGACGGTAGCAATGCCATGCGCTGCTTAAGGCAGACCTGCATAATACGTGCCTAAATAGCTGAGAATTACTTCGCAAGCGTGCTATGAATCATAACTGAAAATGCGCATGCGTGCTGGGGAATTCGGTTTCGGACTTCATGCTAACCGTTCTCCGAAAATGATTTATTTCCCATAGCTAACCTTGAACGAATATTTGGACGCGGTTACCATGATTGCGCACTTTCCACATACTGTTTGCTCTGTTTGAAGAACCGTAAGCGCACTTCCTATAAAGTATGTTTTTATTGTCAGAGTAAGTCAAATTTTTATCCCTGAAATTTTGTGCGCAAAATGATGCTTAGTTCTGATATTAATGTAATGTTACTGTGCAGAACAGTATTGACCCATATCCTCGGTACGTTTATTGTTTGACTTGTCGATTAAGCGCTGTTACACTTAAAAATGTGTCAGTATTAAATATTTTTTCAATATTTATTGAAAAACGCCCTATTAAGACTATTTTAAAACAAAAGTAAATATTACTTTCGTGTTAAAGCGTGTTAGAAACCAGTGAAATTTTTTAAAAAGAAATATTCAATATCAACTCATTCCTTCCAGATCAATTGCACAAGGGGTATGTTGACAAAACCGCCACTTCAGCAACTCGATCTCTAGTGTGCCAAGAGTGTTCTATAGGAACGATTTTTGGTCTCTACCACACACCCACCACCCGAAGGAAAGTAATAGAGGCTCAGTCGTTTGATTCATTTCGTAAGTATCATCAGAATTTCATCTACTTCATTCAGGGCTTAATTTCTAAGATTAGAAGTGCCGGAGCCCTATGGAAGACCATCAGCAAAGAGGAACAAGAGTAAATAAATAAATAAAATAACTATTAAACTCATTAATAATTTTAAAATTAAATAGTTTATTATCATCAAATTAATTAATAGTTATTTAATTAATGTTATTAATTGTTATTTAATCAATTATTATTATATAATTAATTAATTATAATTTAATTGATAATTATTATATAATTAATTATTATTTATTGAAATAATTAAAGATTGAAGTAATTAAATAATTAAAATTAAATAAAATGTAAAGAGATAAATTGAAATTTAATAAGCGATTTTTAATATAATTTTATTGTTTAAATAAAATTTTCGAGATAAAATTTCTACTGAAATTGTTATTCAATTATATAAAAGAAGTGTCGCAGACTTCTTATTCAGGGCTCCGGTGCGTTCCGGCTAGAATTATGATTTATTACAAAAACTAAGAAGCACCGTGGCCGAGATCCGGTGGGCTCCGGCCCAATTTAAGCTCTGATCGTAGAGGGGAGTCTTTTTATCATCACAAAAAATATATATACTTAAAGTACAGTGATAAAAATTCCAGGGCGAAACACAATGAGCGTATGAGTGGGTGGACACAAAAAATGAAGGGAATCTTGGTAAGAGAGACCGCGGCTCTCTGCTGATATAATTATAGCCATCAAGCAGATGTTTGTCAGAGGTAAAAGGAGACCTGAATCTGACTCCTAAGAATGAATGTAAAGTTGCTGGTTACGCTTTCTACCCATTAGTGGATACTGTGGGAAGACAATGTATAGGACGAGCTTAAGCAGTTTATCTCAGTATTTTACTATTCTTAGTATTCAGTTTATTGTACTCGCTGTCCTTAACGCACATTTAAGAACAGAAATTTTCCTTCCTGCGAGGATAACTAACTGTAAGCATCAATAACAATATACTAGATACGATGGCATGGCGAGAAATATACGCGTTCCTAAACAAACTCCCCGAATTTATTGCCCTTCTTAAAGGGAAAGGTTTCCGCATGTGAGTGAGGGGACTTTATTTGAACGTCTCATGTTCTCATGAGTTCGTATTTCTAGGGAAATAGAGTATTGCAAAGTCTGCTTATTGTTAAACTAAAACGTTAGGAATTCTAAATTTTTTTCCCTTTAAATTGTGGTTCAGTTTTATAAAAAGAAGTACCGGAGCTCATCTTATTTAGGGCTCCGGTGCGCTCCGGCTAAAATTGTAATTTATTTTAAAAATTGAGAAGTACCGGAGCCGGGCTCCGGCGCAATTTAAGCACTGACTTCATTTTAAAATGCGAAATTACAGAAGTCATGTATCTTTTGATGTCGAGAGCTTGACAGGAAGCATATTCTGCCTTTTTTGGTGGATTACGTTCGTATATGCAGTCCAGTTGTTGCTAAACTAGGTTTACCAGACGTCCATAATTATCCCACACAGTCGGGTGTGCAATTAGATCAAATTGCTGCATCCGGAATTTTTAAATGAGAGTGACTGTTTTCTTAGGTGATTATTTTCACTGCTAAATGCATCAGCTTTAGCAGATAGGATTTTTCAACTGTGACCAATTTTGATCTCCAGAAAAAGTACATCATAGGTATCAATAATATAAGAACTTTAAAGTAAATTCCAAATATTCATATAATAATTTTTTTGAATATATAAAATGCATCAAACAGTTTCTAAGGAAAATATTATGCTATATAAAATAAGCGAGGATGGAAGAAAATCAGGAGTTCCAGCCATCCGCATCAGAATAGACATGCTGCAAAAACTGTGTTGTTTGCTTTTGAATATCTTGAATATTTTCTTGTTCTTGCTGTAGGATTTCTTTTTTTTTTTTTTTTCTTTTTCTTTTTTTTTTTTTCATAATAATTTTTATCTGACTGATACAGTCTTGTATAAAATACCTGTAGAAGGTTTTTCTAATTTTATAGAATGGGGTGTTTGTAGATTATAGAATGCGGCGTTGCATCAGGACAAAAATCCGATAAATCAGATTTTATTAGTTTTCATTATGTGCCAAACGTGTCAAATATTAATTTACATGTGGCGTTTTCCTGGTGTCGGTATCGTGCTAAAGGGCGCTAGAAGTTTCTTTTGTGTGGACATGATAATACATTCATCCAGTATTGTGTACGAGCGACTTGACTGAGCCATTAAAAAGAAGAAAAAGAAAAGAGCAACATGAATAGCCTATTTATTTCTGTTATAAGGTATGTCTCCCGCTTTCTTAGCGTGCCTTCCTGGTCTGCACGCTGGGCGCGTATTCCAGAGGTCCGCGGTTCGATTCCCGGCTAAGACAATGATTTGAGTATAAAATTGAGCGTATTTCTTCCCGTTATTGCAAAGAAAATATGAATTATTGTATTTATATAAAATTTCGATGAAGTGGGAGTTTATTTTAAAATAATATTTCCATTCTGAATTGCAATTTCTCTGCAGCTCTGTTTCTCTAAATCTCTATTCTCTGCTATTCTGTTTCTCTAAATCTGCGTTACTCTTCATTTGAATGAAAAAAGCGATTTCATAGATTAGAGCGAAGACATCTATGTTTTCTTGTGCTTTCAATTTGTCAGTTAACAGGTGTAATCTGGTCGGGAGGGGGACGAAAAGAAAATACTTGGCTTTCTATCTGATGAGAGGAGAAGAAAGAAAAGTGAGTGCTCATTGTGTCACTGAAAGGGTTTTACATCTTTTTTAATACACAGAAATACACTCTCCTGTATAAAATCAACAAGGTTTTTTTATAATAAACACTCGTAATTAAAAATTACAACATGCAAAATCCTTGTTAATTTACTGAAATGTTTTTACTGTGCAAAAACTATTTTAGTACTCTCAAAAAGATATGAAAGTACAATTGTGGCTTAAAAGTATAGCTGTGACTGTATCATATTCCTGAATTCTATCATGCAGCTTCGACTGGTATAAAGTTTGGCCAGCCCCTCTATATAAGTTTGTTAAAAACAGGTAGTCCGTATGTTTTTCTTTTTCGTAATTGAATAAAGAAACTTATATAATGTTCATTATTTTATGTGAATATTTGTTTTAAAGTATATAAATCAGTACCACGGTTTTATATTGATATAAATGAAAAGATAATTTCCTAATACTTCCATAGGTCTGCGTGTTTATTCAGCGTTACTTATGAATAAGTAGTTACTAAAAAAGGGAGTTTTAAAAAGCTGAAATTAATGAAAAAATATTTGAAATCAACAGTGTCAGACATCTATCTTACTGATTTGTCTATCACTTCTTCTGACATTATAAACTTAAGATATGAAATATAAATTTTGTAGTAGTTGAAACTACAAGAATAAAAGTGTAATGTATAGCATACCGTATAAAGTAGTCCAAAATTGATTTGTAATTTTTTGAGGTAGTTGAGAAAATTTGTTTCTGTAGATGATTTATCTTTAGTAGCATAATTTGTGCTTATACGAGGAGCAGTCAAAAAGTTGCCAGAATTTCGGGTTTTTTTTTTTTTTTTTTTTTTTTTTTTTTTGCTGATTTTAAAATTATTTTGCAATATTGCTGTTGAATTGAATTTTATGGTTTAAACGCGGTTGTTGCTGTTGATTTTGGCCAGTATTGGTAGTGTGAAGAGAAAGTTTACCATTCGACTTCTCGGATTTATCCTACTTGTACGCATCCTCTCAACTGCTTATTTTACTTTTAATTATTTTGTTAATTATTATTTTACTTAAGTTATGTATTTAATTATTTAGCCAAATTTTGTTATTTTTTTTATCTTGTTGTATTAAAGATGGATGATTGACCAATATTTTATGGCACCGGTTTTTTACATGAAAGTGTGGAAATGCTTCGGTTTCTAAAAAATATGGGAACTTTTATTAATTTGGATAATAATAAATACAATAAGTTCAGTAATTATATCATGCGTTTAAAAGTGTGATAAGGATTTAAATAACTGAGAATTACGAGCATTATTTATAATTCGATTATTGTACTGCTTTAATTTGAAAAATAAAGATCTTACGTCACGTTAATGATAAACTAGACCTTTTGCTTTCCTGGATGATAAGTAGTGATTTAATGTAATGTAAGGTATTGAGTGGTGTGAGAAAAGGAAAGTCTATCGAGTCTTTAATATCGAAACTGCGTTAATTCAATTATTAACTCTTTTTCATGTTGCGTGTAATTTTAAAGAATGTCATTTATGAATTCAAGATGGTATTCATGGGAAATAGAAAGTGGAACAAATACAGTCATACTAACTTCTTGTTACTTTATTCGTTATGTATGAGCTAATTTCTTCCTCTTTTTTGTCCAGTTTCCTTTATGAACGAAAGATATTTTTAAATAAGTTATAATAAAATCGTCTATTGTAGAAATTTGTTGTAAAAATACTAGTTGCTTTTCAATAAAATTTCTTTATGAATCAAAAATACGATGGATTTTGTAACTGATTTGAGAAACATTTTAATTGAAAAAAGGTATAGTTGTGAAATATTTTGTACTTTCAAACCTAAATCTTCGTAGAACATAAAATATGATTATATTACGACAATATTATTTAATGACAGTATTCCAATACGTGTATGAAATTATTCAAATGTATTGGATATTGAATTGTATGTTTAATATGAAATTATGTATTCTTTCAGCCAATGAAAGCCGTTGGGAAAGAACATCGCTGCCTCAGCAGTCAACATTCAGCTCCCAACCTCCCATTCCACCTGTGAGGCAATCCCCTCTCGGTCAACCACCAAAAACCTTTCATTATACTCCTGAACTGCGCTATAAACCAGTTTACTTTGGTGATCCGAGGTTACGTCGCTACAGCTGTGGGTATAGCGAAAGGAGACCTTCAAGAGAAATATCAATAAGTGGTCTTCAGGATTTCTGCCGGACCATGTTGACTGTCAAGACTCCAGAATCGGTTTCTCTGCAGAAGAATGGATCTCAGTTTGAGGACAGTCATTTGAATAATAAAAAAAATGAAGATTCTAGAACAGTAAGTATAAATTTGTAAATTAAAGAAACTAATGAATACACTACTTCCCATTAAAATTGCTACACCTGGAAGGAAAGCAAATAGCAGAATTTTATTATATATATACAGTGTAATGAGAGAAAGACATGATTTAATTTTCAGTTTGGTTTAGTGTCGAATTAAATTTTCAGTTGGTTTGGGGTCGAAATCTGCTGTCGAACTGAACTTGGATGACAGATACTGGTGTTTCATTCCATCGACTTCAACTTTATGCCAGAGTTCATCAGTTGTAGTGGGTGGCGATTTGTACTGTGTCAATCGCTTGGCAAACCATGACCAGATATTCTCAGTAGATGAAAAACGCGCTGTCCAGGTCAACAATCGAAAGCCCTCTGTATCGAGAAAAGGGAGGGCAGCACCGAAACTTGCGGTCGTAAAGAATACCTTGTTGAAGGATGACATCAGACAAACCCCGATGATAGGAAACAGCCACGAACCTTAACGCCTCAGAAATATAAGGGCGGCTTTCCATGTTATCAGCTGTGCGAACAAGAGGTGACCGAGGTGTATACCCAACGGCACTTGATGCCAGCACGCAAGGTGCTAAGTCTGTATGATGATGACCAATGCAAGTTTTCAACGTTCGTTCTCCTCGATGCATCACCATCATGATGCTGTATGCAGAAACGGGATTCGTCTAAAAAAACGACATTGTGGCGTCCAGTGTCATCGTTCATCGCACCACTGTTGGCACGCCTATCTCTGATGCACCATCACTGGAACCACAACAGTGGTTATCGTGATGACAGTCTGTGATACATCAGATGTCGTCGCATTGTTCGCGAGGACATTTGTTGTCCTTCATGCAAGCCAGTTCAGAGGACGTGATGTGGCTGTCAGTGGTATAGCTAGAGCTTTTACCATTCGGGCGGTCCTTGAATTTGTCGCCTGGGACGGTGTATAAATTTGTCGCCCCTCTTGATATACAAGCAAATAACTTATTTGTCGCCCTTCTTGATATACAAGCAAATAATATGTCAAAGCGACATACAGGGAAATAAATTAAAACTCTATGCTTATTTTTGAGGAAAACGTTTATAATTCTAACAAAATTATATTATCTTTCCCTTCTTTTTTTTATCCTCAAAACCTTTGGTACAATCTATTTGATTGCTCCAGTAGCTGGACAGAACAGAAAGATGTGCAAAATAGACATAGGTATTTCATAAATACTTCTTAAATGATTTTTATTTAGGAAATGCTTTTTACCTACAGCGGCACTTACGGCAATTGTAAAGAACAGAAAGTTCGCAGTAGTATTGCAATACTTTGTTCTAGAGATTGTATTTTAGAATAAACTACAGAAGCTCAAAAGTACGACCCTTCAACGTCCCTGTTTCATATCCCCAAGCAATAACGGAAATACTTCTCTCTTAACGAGGAATTCTTCCATATTCATGTCACCGTGATGATAACTTAGTTGATATTTGTGATTTTCACTTAAACGTTTTGACAGAATAAGAAAGTTATAATCAGAGTACGTAGGTACTGAAATCTCGTGGTAATTTAAATACTTCATCTACAGCAAAAAATATTCTTCTTCTCAATTTAATTCCGTATGGCAGTTTAGAATCGAGTTATTCTTCACTTGTCTCGAAAATGCACATCATCATGCCGCCCAGACTAATGGATAGGAGAGCCTACTGCGATATCGAAGGGCCCGGGTTAGAATACCGGAGAAGGCATGGCTCTAATTGTCCGTCAAGGTAATGGTGGCTCACCTGTTAGGTGCTTCCGCAATAAAGTGGCTGCCACTTCCGGCCTTAGTAGAGGCTAAGCCCAAGTGGGTTAATAAGTGCCCGTCAATGGGGGCCAATAATTTGCAATTTGAGCAATAATTCTGTCTTCGCAGTATAAGGATTGCCACGGCATTTTAAATTCAAATTTCAGAAATATGACTTTCCCTCAAATATGATGATTTTCATTATTTAACTTCAAGTTATAACTGATTGATTGCATTTTTTTAACCAAAAACGATAAATATCCAGTTATAATTTAAACTTATTTACTCGTCTGTAATTATAAAATATTTTTTGTTACACATTCACTTTCAGAATCGTATAATATCTAGTCTGAATGAAGTATATAAACTTTTATGATTTCAGAAAAAAAAAATCAGTGAAATTAATGTGTGAAGTAAATTAATATAGTTTTGCTAGATCTTTGTAACTGGTAGAATTTAAAAAAGTGGCAAGATTAAAATAACATGCTATGTTCATTCTAGATTCGCATAGAAAATAATAGAAATTAAAAAAATTGTATTTTACATAAGCACTGGCGAGCCCACTTATTTAGCATGCTTAAAGTCATCTTTACCAAGAGTGAAATGTTTTCCCAGGATTTAAAAGCAGAGTGAAATATCCAAACGAACTTCGTGAGAATGAAAAATCTTATGCAAGTTTCGCAGTCAACTATCTCTTAATAATGGAATTTGTTATCCTGCCTACTAATTAAAGTGAATAACTGTTTATTAAAGCTTGTATCGTCATATATTTGCTGATGCAATGAAGGTTTTGACAATTAGCTCATATTTTTCCGAGAGAATTTATATATTTAGCTCATATTTTTCCGCTTTCCGAGAGAATGAAAACCTTTTTAATTTTAGCAGAAATATATCCCTTGTGTTCTTTATTCATTTAACAACCAACAAACTTAAAATAAAAGTTCCAGTAAGTTATAGGTTTTAATGAATGGAAAACAAAACGTTCCATATCTTCATGAGAGTGTTTTTCAGGGGAAAAAAATAACTAACGGTATTAAGAACGAGTTTACTGTCTGAGATCATTTTCACGTGTGTATTAAAGATGTAGTTAAATACATTTAAAAAGGTAACATCTATAAAGCAGAATCTGTTCTTTTGGCGCTTCATGGATTTGGTCTTCGGTAGAACATTTCTCATTATTAAATGAAGTGGCTCCTTGAAAATATTTAAAAGTATATCTGCAAATTATACGCGCCGAGTGGGCTGATCATTACACCACGAAGTCATGCTAAGAAGGCGGGAAAAATACCTTATACAAGTACCATATAAAATTTAGATTTTATTCATATTTTCAATATGTGGAGAAAGAGTTCACTTTTGAAACAATTTTCATAAAACTCATATTTTATTTTAAGAATTTTGCTGCTAAAACCAGTACTTAAGCTCATTATTTAAAGAAGGATGCCTAGAATAACTTATTTGAACATACGCTATATACTTATATAACAAATTTTTATATTCTCCCAAAATCATCATTTAATCTTTCGCGAAAACAAATATAAATGAAAATATTTACGAAGAAATTTTGCTATTTCGACAGCTTATTTTTGAGGCATAAATTGTGTTTTTGTTTTCTTAGTCTGTAAACGAGCGGGAAAACTCGCAAAACGCACAAGATATACAGACACAAAAATCGGCGAAGCAGTCCACGCCGTTACGAAGTCCAAAACTCGTGAAAGAAGTCTTGAAACGTATGTCTTCTCATCCAAGCGGTAGAGATCCACAAATCCCTGAAACGTTTTCTGATGAGGATGATCCCGATTTTTCTGTGGAAAGAGAAGCTATGAAAGTTATTGCTGATTTCGACAAGAGTTTACCCGATGTCCATGCCACCGAACAAGTTGAAAGATACCCAACTATAAAAGAAGGACCTGCTTTACAACAGATATCTGAAGCTCCTTCGAAGTAATATTTTATTACTGTTAAATATTTTTTCAACTACCTTTTTTACATTTATTTATTAGCAAGTGAATATAACATAGAAGCTAATTTTTATTAATTGTATTCTATAAATTATTTATAAAATTATTGTGTTTTATTTAGGGATCATGGTTTGCAGTCCGATAACTTAGTCGAAGAAGTCCTCCTCAGCGAGCGCAAATACTCGAAACTCCTGCCTATGGGCAGTTCAGGCTTTGGAGAAAAATTCCAAGGGAGAGACGAAATAGAAGATTCTAGACGCTTCATGTCTTTGACTAATGACCATAAAAGTCGAGGAGCTTCTACTAGGGGAGAGAGTTCAGCCCCTCCAAAGCCCCCTAGAAATTACGATTCTTTACCTCGAGGATTCAAAGCTTCCGACGCCGAAACGCAATACGGTAAGTGCAGAGATGAGTATAATTGTGCCAAAGTATAAAGTAAAATGAAGTATCTGCGTTTCTTATTTGTGTTACGCTAGATGGTTTTCTGTAAACAGGAATAAAAATCCGATGTTAAGATTTTTCAGTTTTAAATTAATTAATTAAGCACCATATACAGAAACTTAAAGTGAGGTTTTTAGATTATAAGTCAGAGCGTGTTCTGCCTGTCGATGCCATTTTACTAAGTTGCTATATTAGATAAGGTTTGTAGTCTTTGGCATTGCATTATTTGCTGATAGTGACTATCCACACCGGTTAAATTTTGAGCATTCCGTTAAACTGGTTTGTGTAGTCTTTGGCTACTAGCACAGTTGAATTTTTACATTTAACTTACTGTATTTAAATTATCTGGCCACAAGTGGTTGGCTGAGCTGTAAGCATAAAGTATGCCTTCTGTTCTTACTTACAGTTGTTCTTTTAGACTTGACGAAAATTCGCTGCTAGTCTATTAAGTTTAGTTACAGTTCACGATTGCTAAGAAGACATCTAAACTTTACAATGTTTATGATTTTTAAAAGGTATCGTCTAACATGATTCGTTATTTTTATAATAGTGTTTTCTATCAAAAAAAATACAGTCCCCCCCTATTTTTAGAAGGGGATATGTGTGTGCATTTGAGAGCGTTAGAAGTTAGTTACTGTTCTTTTAATATAGTAAATACACTTATGTCATCGTATGATACCTTTTGAGACCATCACAGTTACGTGAAACTGCAGATAATTGATTATTCGTGTAACTTAATAATTAATGCAGTAAAGTTTTAACTGATCATTGCTTTACAAAAAGACATTATAAACTTTAAAGTGGTAAAATGTACTGTACTATGTATTTTATTCCATTTAAAATATCTTTTTTGCTGTGTTCGTAGTACTTATGAAAGTAACGGTTACTGATGTTTTAGACCACAGATTCCCAAACTTTTTCTTGTAATCGACCCCTATTAAAAGAATGGTTTTCTTCATCGACCTACTTTAGTCTATAGCATACAGCTTACAACGTAATCATAAAACAAATAATTGCGTGTATATAAATTAAGTATAATTAGACTAAGAAAATGAAAATTTTTTAAAAAAGAATGGCTTGTTACATTTACTTTGTAATAATTTTTATATTATTACTTTTTTATTTTACAAATATAAACAAGTTTTTAGAAACAAAATCACAAATTCTAATTGGAGAAATGTTCGATTTTAATTAACATGATGGCTACGCTTGACGTACTGATGCAATTTGTTTTGGCACAATATTGCTTAACTTAATTTTTAAATGATTTCTTTCAAAAATATTCAACATGTTTCTTTTTTTTTCCATAGGACACTATTCACTTGGCTAAAGCCTGCTTCTACTACGTAGGAAGAAGAAATAATCAATAATGTTTGTTTAATAACAATTTTTTTGAGGGGGGAGGTTAATTTAGCGCAGACACGTGTTTTGAATTCAACTTGTGCTTGAACATTCTCCTTCAATGCAATAACTCTTGCATCCTAATATTAATATCAAATATATCGCAGCATTGTGATTCTGTGAGCCATGCTGGCACATTCATATTTTCAGTGTCTTGGAAGTGAGTGTAAAATATTTTCTGAAATTTTTCAAACGACTTGTATATAATAATGCATCTTTTGAGAAAGTTCTGTGGTTTTGATATTTTTAGTTATGTTTTCTCGTGTTCCCGCGTCTTCTGTTTTTATATCGCATAAATATATATGTATTTTTTGAAATATTATTGATTTTTAAAGTATATTAAATAATTTTTATGCATTTTCCTTTATATTTATTTCATATGATTTTTTTCCCTTACTACATAATATAGCTTTACATCAATAAACAATTATTAATTGTCAATTTTATCAATAAATTCTTTTTTATAAACAATGGGATTTGGGATTATGCGGATTAATGGCCAGTACATATTGGATTATCGACCCAAGCTAACCTCATGTTCATCATTGACCTTAAAATTTAATCGACCCCAAGGAATAAATAACCGGCCCCGCTGGGAATCCTTGTTTTAGGTTGATCATCAGCACAGAACACGGAACATGTAAAGGATACTTACTGTACCTGTATAATACCGCATATAGTTTTAAGTGATGATGTAAGTGCCCAGTTTTAAGTAAGTTTCAAATATTGATGGAAATGTACAGTTTCATTGAATTATTATTAAAATTTGTTTTTCATCAAATTGCTGCATAAGCAAGGAAACATTACTGGAAATCAGGCATATTTGTTTCGACTGTCGGGATTGTCATAAGGAAACAATAATTAAGCTTGTTTGAGTTGTTAATTTCACTGTGACCTTCTGTATAGGTTTTCAGCTTTACTAATTAGGAGCTTGTTATCATTCAACATCGTATATTGCGTTACCAGATACTTTATTACTATTATACTAAGTTTAGAGACGTAAACCTCAGACTAAATATTTGCACATAAAAAGATAATGTGCATATGTTGTCTTTTTTTCAATGAAATGATTAAGATGATTGGTTTAAGTACAGAGATGCCAAGTTCTAGGCATAATGAAAAAAATATTACTAATATTATATTTATAATTCTTAACTTTTCAGTTATAGGATAAAAGTATTTCATTCATACATTTTGAGAATAGCTTCTGCAAAAATGTGAAATTGATAAGCAACTCAAATGTCCTTGCTATAATAATTAAATTATTTTTCATCAGAATAAATGGTATTTTGATTTTAGTTTGTTTTAGTTTATGTGATTGAATCAAAGCCTCGGGGGCTATCTGCATAAGGGGAGAGATATCTTTGTGGAGAACTTTTCTTAGGGAAACTCATATGGTGATTTCCTGTTATGTTTTTACCACCAATCCTCGAATTCCATATCAAAGATTATGTTCTTACTGCATTAATATAAATATTAACAAGACATAGTGCACAATAAAAATTAAGCTTTATTTAGGAACTTCGCGCACACTGCCCGACAGCCTGCCTGTTTCGCTCTGCTCGCTACTCGTAAGAAACTTCTCCTCTAGGATTGCCACACTTATCGGTGGGCGCAAGGCGCGCTCCTTATCGCCATCACCACAGAGTTTCCCCCCAGTTCCTTTCATGGAGGTAGGAAGTAAGAAGGAGTCGCCCTAAACAAGTTTCTCCGTACCCTGCTCTGAAGCACCGGCGATCCCTACGTGGTGACCAAAACATTGGGTCATTTACCATTGAGTTCTATGGGATTTGACGCGTTCGGGGTAAATATTTTGTAATTACGTCGCAAATATACATATAAATGTATATATTTACTTTTTTTACAACACTTCAGAGTCCTAAGTATGTGAAAACAACATATTTTTAAACAACATTTCATTCTGAACGGAATTAAATGCTATACTTTTCACAGGACAGTTTTCTCAGAATGGTTTAATTTGAATGAAATATTTTCACAAGTTTTCGTTAATTACATTAGAAAAAAAAATTAAGGTAATTCAGTTTTATTCCGTTAAGGTACAAAAATTAAGATCAAAGTTTATTGTATTATTAATATTAAAATTACGCATTATTTCTTTTCTATTTATAGAGCTTCTTCCTAAAATACTTTCTTAAATATGACATGATTTTTTGGCTTCTTTTAAATCGAAAAATGTAAGTCAATTTATAATTAATGCTCTATTCGGTTCATTTTAAATAAGAGAATTATTAGGAATTAGCGAAATACTTTAAATAAGTATTTCGCTAATTCCTAATAATTAAATATGTATTAAATAGTATTTAACTTTCTCTGAACATTTCTGAAAGGGAATAAAATAAGTTTTTTTTTTTTTTTTTTTTTTTTTTTTTAAGTATTATTTAAAACTTGTAACTGAGTTATTATAAAAATGTAAAGGGGAATAATTCTTTTAATTATACTTATCAGATTTTTTTTTTTTTTTTTTTTTTTTTTTTTTTTTTTTTTTACCCTTCATTTCAACAATACATATTCAAAAACTCTTTATTACGTTCTTAAGTGCGCATCTCATAGCATTTGCTTTACAGTACCTTTTAACAGATTGCTTTCCAATGCGAACAATTCTTGCTTAAATAGTTTTATAACGTATTTGTCAACCAGGATTTCAATTTATGTTTACAATTCAATATTAAGGTTATTATATATTTAGATAATATTTATAATCATTATAAATTAGATACATTTAATCATTAGATTTCTGCACAGTACTTTCACAGGTTTTAATAAGTGAATAAATTCTTCATTTCAAATACATTTATAAATAATTTAATGAATATTTAAGTATTTTGTCAAAGGCAGATACATGCTTTTTGCAAGCACATGCATAAATACCCATACATATTTCCTATTTATCATTTCCGGCATGTGCAAATCTTTAATTTCTGTGCATTCACTATATTTTTTCGTGTAAAGTAATTTACACTAATTTAGCATACACCCGAAAGTTTTACATAAAAATATATATGAATATAATTTGAAGGAAAATTATAAGTATTATTTTTAATACCCACTCAAAGGTCAGTTTTTCTTCAAAATTCCTCCACGACGGCATCTCTCTCTTTAGGCAGATAGCCCTTGCCTGCGTTACTCTATTTAATAAAAACTTAATCTGACCTATGTGCCTAATTACAAATATTTTAACATACATAATTTTATATTTACATTTAGCCATCAAGTTTCAAACTTTTCAAATCTTCTAGAAAATAAATTTTGGCAGATCTCTTTTAGCAATTTTCTTAAAATATATATTTTTGTAGTGCAACAGCTTAGAATTTTATAAAACAAATTCATAATCAAAATCGCTGTTGTTAGTTATCGAAAAATAACCAAGATGTGATTTTTGCGTAAATGTCAGTAAACTATACAAATTGCTATTATCCATCCCACTATGAATGTTTCTTTCATGCGAGAGTGTCCCTTTTTCGATTTCTATGGAACTGTCGTGTGTCGAAATACTATCAGAATCTTGTCAAGCGAGCTTCTGAATGTAAACAAAT